CCAAAAAGAGCCCATTCAAAAAATGAAAGTTGATCCATTTTATCAAGCCAACCTTTGGTATCCACTATACAAATGTATTTCCAAGAACATGTGATGAATTTTGGCAACAGTTCAAGCATAGTTAATTCAAAGTTCTTAATAAATAGATACATTCCAAATTTTTGAAATATAATTTAGCAACACAAAGTCACGTTAAATACATGTGATGAATTTTGGCAACAGTTCAAGCATAGTTAATTCAAAGTTCTTAATAAATAGATACATTCCAAATTTTTGAAATATAATTTAGCAACACAAAGTCACGTTAAATCAACTTCCTTCCAAGAATCTGGTTCACCATAGTGTGAATATTCAACCAATAAGAAGTAACCAAGGAATATCTCCAAAGCAGATGTACTTTACTACATCTCCAACATAAGTTTGACAATGTTTTTTAAATGTTAATTAGCCCAGTGGTCTGAAATACAATTTTTGATTAATTAATCTTGTGTTAAGATCATAAGAAATGTATTTGTGTCTTAAAACCTGAGACCACTGATTCCAATTTCAAAACTCCAATTCTCTATTCTAAATATCTTGTATATTATCCCTATTTATTTTAGTAGAGTTTTAAAATTGTTGATAAAACAATTCTTGGTTTAGCCTCTGAAAAAAAAATATCTCCAGTGCATTCAGGGCCATAGGGATTTCCAAGGCAGCCAATATATTTGAACCAAAGAACATAACAAATGTTTCAGCTGATTGTATTGCTGTTCAGTTATTTCTGAATTATCACAAAATGTTAAACAGTGATTAGAAGGAGCATTTCATTTTTTTCATTTGATTCACTAGATTAGAGATAGGAAATCTGATGCCCTCCAAATGTTTCTATAAAAGTTTCTTAATAAATTGTAAATTAAAAAATTAAAATTAAAAAGGTACATCAATGTATCTTCAGTGGAAGTGAAGCAAGAGAAAGTTCCCCCTCTCAGGGTTGGCCTGGAGCGTAAGTCTTAAAATGAGCTTAATCAGGAGGGGAATATGCCAGAGACTCCATCACATCTTAATTCAGAACTGGAATGGGATTATGGGCTAAAGCATGTGAAAGTGACATACCAGAAATCAACAGGTCTCTTCATTCTAATTGAGGCTGAGTGCTGTTATTCTTCATTTCTGACAAGTTCTGCTTAGGGGAGAGAGATACGTCTGGGGTCTCAGCCTGTCCTTGTGACAATGCCCCCCATCCCTGTTTTCCCTTAGCCAAGATACTTTTCATTCAGCTCCACTACACGGAGCCCTCCTTATGTCAGGCAGGGAGATTTAAACGTGAATTAATGCATGAGTGGTTTGGGCAAAGTGGTGTAAGTATTTAATAAGCAGATGTCAACTCAGTTATATATGGCCCACTAATGTCATCATGACAATGAAAAACTACAGGTTTCCCACACATTCCTTTGCTAATACAATCCTGGATGAGCTGGCAACTGCCATGAGCAAATTTCTGCTTAGAAGTCAAAGCTTTACGCTCTTTGACCTAAACCAGACTGGTCCTTATTTTCAGGTGAACCTCTGAACTGCCCCATAGTCCTTCAGAGAACAGAAGAATGAGAAAAAACTTAGTCTTCTGAGGCTACCTCAAAACTGATCAATACCTCTTTACTTGCCATATAAGTGTGTATCACTAACTGTGTAAAAGTTAGCCCTGAACCTGGGTCTGACCAGATGTGTTGGGATTACAGAATTCCCCACCAGCATGGCCAAAGGCAATCCCAGTACTTCTGGCAGGGGCACGTTGAGAAAGACTGGAACGTACGATTGGACTATAAGACCAGATTAGTATATTGCACTAAGCCAAAGTTAAATAACAGTGGTTTATTTAATAAACTACAATTGGTAGAAATTATACAAGACCATAAATCAAAACCAGATAAACCACATTGTGGCAAGCTCTTGTAGAAACTTGATTCTTCTCTTCCATTCTGCTGTTCTATCCAATCCAAGTTTATTAAGTTAGCTGTACAGGTAGTCCTCACTTAACGACCATTCATCCAGCGACTGTTCAAAATTATGACAGTACTGAAAAAATGGACTTACGACCCATGCCCCAAGTTATAGCCATTGCTGTGCCCCCACGGTCACATAATCAAAATTCAGGCACTTGGCAGCCTACCTGCACTTACGACCACAGG